TACTGATTATTATTTTACTAGCATATAGCCTGTCAAAAATGACAGTGCAAGTACTACCACCCCCACCCCATAGTTTACCCTAACCTCACATTTCGTATCTAACTGAAATAAATAAATTTTGCAAAATCAAGCTTGACCAACAAAGAAGCAGAAAAGTGCAGTCAAGGCAGTCAAATGTTGGGAAATACCTTTGTGAGCCAATCAAAGTTAAGATCATTCATGAAATGAATTCATGGTGTATTCATAGAATAAATATTAATAAAAATCAGTTATATTAACAACTTTTTATATATAGAAAAGCCAGTGCATTTTGGTAACACAATGTTCCAACAGTGGCTTTTATGTCATGTTGCTTAGCAACAAAAGTATAACCTAATATTGGTGTTAGTCTGTATACTGAAAGTATAAAATGATATATATAGACAACATAACTGGAAAAATATTTGTTGATTTCTTAATTTAGAGTCTGTTAATTAAAGAGATTTTTTTATATTAAAAACATTGGTGATATAACAGAAAATAGCTTAATTCAGAAAGGATTTAAGTTTTAAAATGAATAGATATTTTTACTGTCATGATAATTTTTGTGCATTTGGCTCTAAACTAGGTGATCCCACACTCACTACACTTATAAAGTTTCACAGCACACACACACACACACACCCATGGCACCCTTTCACCCCCATCACTAAAGTCATAATGGAAAGACAGTAATTGAACTGTTCTATCTGGATAAATGCATTTTGGCTTTTGACTCCTACTTTGAGAAATCAAGTAGGACATGACACACAATGGCTTTCATATAGGTTAGATTACAAGTTCTAGCTTTTGTAGTAAGGAAGAATGTTTTCAAAACAGGTACAATGTTTTAATCACTGGTGCAATTGTTCTCAAGTACATAAGTTTTTAACCCTTTTTTATTTGAAAATGATCACACCAGTGATTGAAATGTCATACCTGTTTTAAAAAATATTTTTCCTTACTATAAATACCATGACTTGTAATAAAATAATATGTGTGTGTACTTTAGTTTCAGCCATCTAGTCTTACTGAGTATTCTCATATTTTTTGGGCGAGTTAGTTATTAATTCCAATAGAACTTAAATTCATACATCTTTTCATGAGTATAACTTTCAGATATTAAACCTAGATGGATTTTTCTATAGCTTCATTTAGTGGTTTATTGGTTTAGTTGTCCTACTTAGTAGTAAGACTTGAAGCTGTAGTGCGCTGTTTTTACAACCAATCTTTTTTGTAAGTCTTGAAACTGTAATGTGTCATTTTGCCCATTCTTCCTGGTTAGGGCTTGAAGATGTTAGTTTTGGTGACAGATTATGCAATTGGGAATCAAATAAGTGTAATTGATAAGCCTTGAATTCGTAGTTTGAGTTGACCTTCCTAATATATAGGTACTTGAAATATTTTGTACTTTTGGCTATTCATTTTTGGTGTCACAAGTCAGCCAGGAACCATCTTGTTTGCAAATTGAATACTTATTATGGTTTCACATAAGCAAACACAGGATATTATGATCTGATAAAAATAACTTAAGTTAGTAGTTTCATATTTTGCTGGTGCAGTAAATATTAAACTTTTGTTTATTGTTTATCAGTATCACCATGGTACACAATGTTTTTTTTATCCAGTTACCGTAATGATGATTTTGATTTATCTAAATAAAATGAAGTAATGAATAGAATTAAAAATTATTTGTTTAGTGTTGTCTTTGGCATCATGTAGTAAAATCATTGTTAATTTTATTGATGTGGAGAAACTACCCAGATTGGAAATAAAAAACTAGTGCCTGTGTGAATACGTTTTTTTTAGGACTTGCTTGAATATAAGAAAAAGACGAGGACATTACGTGTCAGAATGTTAGATGAATCAGTAAAGACGTTACGAGTAGATGACAGCCAGCCTGTGGCTAATCTCATGGTTGTTATTTGTACAAAAATAGGTAGGTTATAAATAAACAATGTATTGTTTTCACTTTTTAAGAATAGTTGATAAGGGCCAGAATCAACATCAGTGATTACTTATGCTTTATTGACTGCATGTACCTTAGAAGTTTTTTAGACAGAGTTTTGAGCTTTGAAATAATGTTGAAATGTAGCAGTAATTAGTAGCTTAGTAAATGGAATCCTGAAATGTTTAAAAAAGAGAAAAAGATTGGAATATGGAAGAACATGGCTGGAGCAATAAATTCTTCAGTCTCGTTTAGGAGACATGACATCATAAGAACTTAATTGGAGTTTGATTTGCGTGGATGCATGGTTTGTTGCATGTTCTATTTATTGTTGAGGAATGGAGTTTGTTTTGGATTGAAATACATGGCTTACTCGCTGTTCAGGGATGGATGATGGATTTTTATATAACAAACTTCTTTAAGTTTCCTGATTTTCCTATTTTTTGCTGAGTTGAATATTTGTTGGTGGTTCTAATTGATAATGTGTCCAGTGTTGGAATTGTGTTCTTCTAGGTTAATTTTTCTGGATAATGAAGTTGAGTGGCATCATGTTGTTCGTTTACTTTTACTTTTGTTCATCTGCTGGTTTCATTGTATGTGTATGTAATCTTGTAAACAATGTTTGTATTCACTTGTTGTTGTTTTATTTTGTAAGCAGTTCTGAAGCATACCTGGAAATTAATCTTCTAGCATATCCAGTGGAGTCTTTAACTTAAAGTAGCATATACCCTTTATATAGTGTTATCTGAGTTTTGACCTTTTTGTCAGAAAAAACATCTTCAAACTATGCTTTTTGTATAAAAATATATTGAAATAGGTACAAAGACATATTCTGACATATGTTGTGTAACATTACCACTGTGGCTAATTTGCATATTATAAAAATAAAAAAATACAAAAAAAATTATGTTCCTGATAACTTCTACAAAATGACTGAATGCTCCTGAAAATTGGTCCAGGCTTTGATGGGATGTGAAGAATTAGTCTGAACTAAGGAAAACTCTGAAAATTAATTCAAAATAAATTGATATTTTTTCACATTTAAAGGGTATATACTACTTTAATTTTGGAATGAGTGGAATGAAGATGGTTAGATCGTTTATTTGAGAACCAAATTTGAGTTTTTCTGAAAGACTGAATAAAGCTGTTGTGATAATCATTTGTTCAAAAAACTTTTTTAGAGGTGTTATTTTTCTTTTTGAAGTTGGTTATTGTCACAGATTTTAATGGCTTTTATGATGCTTCTTTTAATATAGTGTATATGGTTAGACTGAACTGTGAGTGTAAGTGGATTTCCCATAGATCAGTGTTGGTAAAACAGTATGTACTAGAAAAGGATGAAAACCATTTTCCCCAGTTTGCATTGTAAACTGGATGTTTTGATCAAGAGAATTGAGAGCTTGAAGGAAATTCTTCTGTATTGTGGTTGAACTTAGTTTTGGAACAAAAAAACAAGGCACTCTTGGTTAAAATACTAACTGGTAAAAATCTGACAGCTGTGGTAGAGACAGAGTTAATTAATTTAAAAATAAATTAACAATGACAGGAGAAGAGTATTTTTTTAATTATCTACATGATATTGAGAGAGTTAACTTTGATCAAGTTGTAGTAGACATTGCCAGTATGAAATGCAATAGCAGTTCCATAAAAACAGTTGTAAATGTTGAAAGAGTGAATGACTCAGAATACGGACATCTTTATAAATCTTAGTGTTGATTTAATAAAGTGTAAGTGGGAGTATTGTTGTTGTTTTTCTGATCTTTGCAATTTTTACAATACATGATAGGAATCACAAATCATGATGAATTTTCACTTGTGAGAGATCTTGCTGAAGAACCTGTCAAAGATGCTTCTACCACGGGTACACTAACCCTAAGAAAGGTGGGTTTTGTTTCAGAATTTCAACCTTGTAGTGATATGGAATGTTTACATTAGTTTTATGAAGTTTTGAGGGTGAGAGTACTTGTATTTCACTTATCTTCGGAAACATTTATTGATGTGTTTCACAGGTACGACATCCTATTTTGATAACAAATAGTTGCATAAAAGTTTTATAAAAAAAACTAAGTATTTAATGTAACAATAAATAATATAAACTAAACTATTTTTTTTACATTATTTATTACATAGTAATTTAAGAAAAAAATTTTCTCATGAAAATGTAAAAAATGTAATAAACATAAACCAAATTTTCAAATTCAGAATTAAAAGTAATGTTGTATTGAGTACATCATAAATTGATGTGATTTTTTTTAAATTAATTATTTGAGTATTTTGTGCTTTACAACTAGGAAAAGAAGGATAAAGAAAGAGATCAAAAAATGGAGCAGTTGAAAAAGAAGTTAAAAACTGATGATGACTGTAAGTATGTTTAAAAGTATATTGAAAGAAGATGATTGTTATCTCTGTGGATTTTACGTTGTAAAGCTTACAGAATACAGATAGGATTTCACCGTTTTTATAAAGAAAAGTAAATCTGAAAGAAATTACAGTTTAAAATTACTTATACATATTAAAGTGAAATAGATGACATAGCTGTTATTTTGTACCATTTATCAACTGTTACCTTTAAAAAAGTAATTTTTTACAGTATTGAATTAATAGTTTCACTTACAAAAATACAGAATTTTATTTTGAAAGGAATAAAATGACTCATGGTATTTGATTGATGATTGATTTGTATTAGAAGTTCATCATTTTTAATAAGCAAACATAAATGCTTTCGGTACTGTAAAGAAAGCCATTATTTCCAGAATAGTGTTTAAAGAAATAATGCTTTTCTTCCAAATGTGATACATTATTGTTATCCTTTGATATAGTAAATTGGGTTGACCACTCGAAAACGTTAAGGGAACAAGGTATAAATGAAGATGAAACACTCTTGTTGAGACGCAAGTTTTTCTTTTCTGACCAAAATGTTGACTCGAGAGATCCCGTACAGCTGAATTTATTATATGTTCAAGTACGTATGCTTACTCTCAGGAAGTTAAGTTAGAACTTACATTGTAGACATGTAGTTCCAGTATTGGTAATTTATGTGGCAAATCGAATAGATTATAAATATTTACATCATAATTTGTGCTGATTTTATGTAAATTAAGGTATGTAAGTAGTTTTAGTCGATTAATATGAATAAGTTAAGAAAATATTTAATTTATTAAAAATTGGAAAAATCAAAGATTAAATGCAAATTTTTTATAAGTATTTCTATTATTATTTTGTTCAAATGATTATACTTTTCTATTTCAGAGTATTTTCTGTTTTAAATCTTCCATTATGTTAGACAAATTAAAAATAGGTTGATCTTCTGTGAAACAGTTTTCAGTTTTCTAATATCTTGAAACAATTAATTGTACAATAATTATATATATTTTTTAAGTTTGAACTTCATTTTAATATTAAGGATCCAGCTTCGTTTACAGTTTTTCACTTGTACGATTAAAATTAAAGAAGTGATGAAAAAATGTCTAAAATTTTCCTGTTGAAATATAAAATGGCCAGTGACAATTTAAAATCTTTCAAATTATGGAGATTGCTCTAGGGTTAATATAATTATAAGATTATGTTAAATTTGGACTGTTTTAACTGGCAATTATTTTAATGGCCATTCTACTTATGGCTATTGGAAGTTGTTTTTAGTTGTAGGACCCCATTGATAAGACTTGGATGGATCTTTTGAAACTTTGACTATTTATTTTTTGCATGTTCTTTACTTATTTGTGTCAAATTGTAATTAAGTCAAATATCTAGAAGTTAGATACAAGAAGTTTCTGTAAGATAGTGAAATGGTTATTCCAAATTCATATTTGCTAAGAGAAAGATAAGCTGTATTTAAAAACACAGACCATTTGTCACTGATGTTTGGTGTGAAAACTGGATGTAATATAGTTACCTGCACATTTCCTGACATTAAAGAATCAGTTTGAAATGTCAGTCAAATTACTGGTGGATTAATTGCAATTTCTTTGTGAATAAGTTAATCTCATTAAAAATAGCATGAAAATTTACCTTGTAGATGTTGGCAGCCAGATGATAAAATAAAAGTTTACCATCTTTATTTGAAGTTCTGCTAAATTTTTATCCACAGATGACTACAATGTAACCATATACATTCTTTACAAAAAACAAAAGTTTTTGAACAATTTTATATGTAATAACTTTTTGTAGGCTAGAGATGCTATTCTTAATGGAACTCATCCAGTGACAATTGAACAAGCATCCAAGTTCGCTGGAATCCAGTGTCAGATTCAATTTGGAGATCACAGTGAGCAGAAGCACAGGCCAGGTTTTCTTGAGTAAGTTAAAAAAGTTAAGACTTGACATGTGATTAACACTTAAGTTTCCATGAGCAAGCTCATAGATCAAGACCACTTGAATAAAAATTACTTGTATATTTTTGTGCCATAATAATTATCACTGTGTTATTTATCTCTGCAGCATCAAAGAATTCCTACCAAAAGATTACTGGAAGGTTAAAGTAATTGAAAAGAGAATTTTTATGGTAAGTGTTGATAATTTTGGTCAATTATTGTTTACATATACATTTACCTTGCATTTTTATTGCAGCATCTGAAAATGTTCACACTTCAGATTAAGAGTTGAAACTGTTGTGATTAAACATGTTTTTTAAATAAAACTTTTAAAAGTCAAAATAAGCCAGTATTAAGTGTATGGAATTACTTGTATTGTTACTTCTATAACCTGCCTCTTGCCTACAAATTATCTTTGTGTAAAAGAAGAAAATCTGTTTATTAATTTGTAATATTTGTGCTGTTATTGTAGTTAATGTTAGCAAAATAGTAACAGTTCTCAGTATGTGTCGTTTTAATGACCATACCTCTTGATATTCAGCATGCAGAGTGATACAGCTCCTGCTACTTATATAGAAAAACTTTTATTCATTCACTTTAATTTGATACTAATTAGTAAAATGAGGTTGAAATTGTTTAAATAACTAACATTTAAAAGATAATAAATGTGTTTTTTTGTGCAAAAAAAAATGATTTTTTTCGATTTAGGAACATAAGACGTGCTTAAATGTGTTTTTGTGCAAAAAAAAATATTTTTTTCGATTTAGGAACATAAGACGTGCTTAAATGTGTTTTTTGTGCAAAAAAAATGATTTTTTTCGATTTAGGAACATAAGACGTGCTTAGGAATGAGTGAACTTGAAGCTAAGGTAAAATATGTATCACTTGCACGGTCACTAAGAACATATGGCGTTACCTTTTTTTTGGTTAAGGTAAGCTGTTTTATAAATAAATAATATGTACTTGTGTATTATCTTTTGTAAACTTAAAGCTAAAAGTACAGAAAACATTTCTCCAAGTGTACTATAGCACAGTAGAAATAATGAACTTTAACTGTTTTGATACATTTTTAATTTAGGTATTGAGGAATACATGAAGAATTTTGTTTTTAAGGATTTATGACATTCAGTCTCTACAAAATATATGTTAATTATAAGGTTTGCCTTAGCCATTTTTTCTTCACAAATTATTTTAAAACATGTATACTTAGTTTTATTCTCTTACAGTCAATAGCAGTGAAGTGTGAAAAATATGACTTTCCTTATTACAGATAATTTAGAAATTTTTGTTTTCATGCATAGCCTAGTTACAGATTTGTTTTCTGACCAATAAAAATGGTCCACTTAACACTGCTTGAAAAAAGAAATATTCAAATGAGTCGCACAGTTTTATATTGAATGCTGAAAAATGTTTTTAGACCCCATTAAACAATATGTGATCTTTAATAATCACAATGTTGGTGCTGCCATTAAGTCATAGTTCCAATAATGAAGGTTTAAAGTCATTTCTGTGAAATAATAAACCACATTGAACAATATGTGATCTTTAATAATCACAATGTTGGTGCTGACGTTAAATCATATTTCCAGTAATGAAGGTTTACTTT